TGGGGAGAGGGTCTTTTATGAAGTAGTTAAAGTAAAATGAGGTCATGTGAGTGGACCCAAATCCAGTATGACTGGTGTCCTTATGAAGAGAAGAGATTAAGACACAGAGATGTATACAGGGAAGACCATATGAAGACACAAGGAGAAGACAGCCATCTATAAGCCAAGGAGAAAGGCCCCAGAAGAAACCAAACCTTATGACAGGGCTTGTAACAGTCAGGCTTTTTAAAGCCCTATATATATAACGCTTTTGTTTTCATTCTACAATTTAAAAAAATTGTTATTTGAAACAATAAACTTGATTCCTGTGGAGTAGCAGTTCTCACCCCCAGCTTCACATTACAATCAACTAGAGAGATTTGGAGGAAAATGACTGATATCTGGGCTCTACCTCCAGAGTTTCTGGGTTACTGGTTTGCGTTGGGTGCCATACCCCACGCTGGGGTGATTCTAATGTTAGCTAGGCGTGAGGAAAACTGCTATAAAAATCAGTTGATTAGTAAACCTCGGAGAATTTACAAAGAGAATCACTCTATTTCAGTCTTTTTTTAAAAAAATTAATTTATTTATTTATCTTTGGCTACGTTGAGTCTTTGTTGCCGCACACGGGCTTTCCCTAGTTGCGGTGAGCGGGGGCTACTCTTCGTTGCGGTGCGCGGGCTTCTCATTGCGGTGGCTTCTCTTGTTGCGGAGCACGGGCTGTAGGCATGCGGGCTTCCGTAGTTGTGGCTCTTGGGCTCTAGAGCGCAGGCTCAGTAGTTGCGGCGCACGGGCTTAGTTGCTCCGCAGCATGTGGGATCTTCGCAGACCAGGGCTCGAACCCGTGTCCCCTGCATTGGCAGGCAGATTCTTAAGCACTGTGCCACCAGGGAAGTCCCCATTTCAGACTTTTAGAGGACTCAGATTTCATAAATCATTGTATGTTGTTCCACCAATATAAAAGAGATTTCTTCCTCCAAATACCTCTCCGTCCCTTCAGTCCCCAAATCATTTTAGCATTGCTATTGCACCATTTAGTGAGAACAGGAGCTGTTTAGTAATTTCTTCATCACTGATCAATGCAAGTAACAAAATGGCAGCTAGCATTTCAGGGAGCATTTTTAAATCCTCGAGTTTCAGGAAGCATCTACATCTAGAAGAAACGCTATTGGGATAGGGGTGCTCTGTATCACCCTAATTAGCAACACAGCAACACAAGCCCTATAGAGAACTGGCCTAAGTTGATGGAGCTGGGTTGAGAGCCAGTTGCCTAGAACTTGGCAGTGAATAGAAGTGCTATGGGCGCCAGTTAGCTGGAGTTGCCTTCAACCCCTGGCTGCTTAGTGGCAGCCTTTTAATGTTTGTTGGGTTTTCAATAAAGATTGATCTGACTCTGCAGATTTCTAATGTCCTTTTATTTGGTAAATCAATCCCAGTCTGGCAGTAGCACATACAGAAGATATTTTTAAAAGTCTTGGCAGAAAGTGACTTTCAAAATTCAATTCTATAATTCCAGAAGAGAAGGGGTGAAAAAAAAAAAAAAGTGGTGGAGTGAGATGCAAGCCCCTCCCTCAAGGCTGTGGGACATCTGAGGGGGTGAGAGGCAGGGCTGCTCCTGGGCCCTGGGATGCGCAGGAGTGGAGAGGAGTGACAGGTCATCTTATGCAGTTTTCCCCAAAGGATACAAATCTTAACGCTGTTTTTTACAATAGCTTTGAGGTTATTACGTCGGATCTTTAATGAAAGGAAAGTAAGTAAGCAAGTGGCTAATTTGGCCCGTCAGAGAAGGAAAGGGAAGTTACAATAGTACATTCAAGCTTCACTTTGACCTTCATTGCCAGAAGCTACTGCAGCCGCCAGGGTAGACAAAAGGGCTTCAACTGGTCTCTTGAATATTATGATTGGCTGGGCGATGTAACCGCTTAACCAATCAGATCGAGCCTCTCTGGGGCAACTCCAGACTAGTTGGAAACCGAACCTCACAATGGGCAAGATTCCCACCGCCGATTGATCTTGCGTCTAAGGAAGTATCCCGACTATAATTTCTGGCAGAAGCTGATAATGAGAGGACTTGCTAACAGCCTCATTGATAACTTGCCCCAAGTGGGACTATTCTTCCATCGCTTAGGACCAGTGTTCCTGCTGTGGCGAACTGGACTGCCTGGGGCTGATAATCTGAGTTGTATCACCTGAGCTATGGCCAAAGACACAAAAAAGTTTAAGACTGTCAGTCTAATCTTCTAAGGGCTGGTAGAGCTTTGTTTAATATGGCTTATGTTCTTACAGCTTGAAAAACCCTGCTCCCAGGGGTTCAAGAGTAGTGTTTGTTGATGCCAGCCTTTAATATCATGTCATATAGCGTATCATATCAATATCATATATATCGATATATACGTACACACACACACACACACACATATATATATACTAGAAAAGTTAACAATAGTGTCTGTTAATGCCAGCCTTACTATATATATTATATATAATAAGCAGGACTTTTCAAGTTGAAATAAAGTCCTGGTCCCAAGGGGTTAGTAACGATGTCTGTTAATGCCATAATTTACAGGGTATCTGCCTGCCATTCCCTCTGCCTGAAACGCGTTTCTCCAGATGTCTGTATGGCTCTCTCACCGACGTCTTCAGGTCTTTACTCACAGTCACCTTCTCCTTGATCATAAGATCTAAAATTTCAAAGCTCCCCCACTGCCCACATTTCATACAATTTTTTGTCCTTAGCACTTACACCATCTAAGGTACCATACATTTTATTTATCTGTCTTTGTCTGTCTTCCCCCACTAGACGGTGAACTCCGTGAGGACAGGGATTTTGTGTAGCTGACACATAGTAGGTAGTCAATAAATATTTGCTCAATGAATAAAAGAGTCATAGTTATTGGGGGTGTGCTGTGTTCAGGGCCCCATGCTCTTTGCCAAGCAAATGAGAGCTGACAATCTAAAACCCTCTGGCAAGTGCCAAATGAATGATCTGGATAATAGGATGAGCAGCCTTCAGAGGAGGGAAAGACCTGACCAGGTGGTCAGGGTGGGCCCTGTGGGTAAGGTGAGCCTTGAACTTGACCTTAGAAGAGGAAGGTGTTGGAAAGTGAGGAACAAGTGGAAGGGTGTTGTTAGTGGTGGTTTTGCCTCCTTCAGTGACTTTGCTGACAAGACACTCAGCCCTGCTAGTGCAAAAGCCACGAGGGGTCTCTGATTCATGTCCCAGCCTCCACATTGGGCTTGGTGCCATCTGGGCATCCTCAGAGAAAAATGTGCAGGCGCCTTCTGAGTGTCTTGCTCACCTCCAGGCTGGGCAAGCTGTATGATTCGTCCTTTGTCATCTAATGACGAAGGGGGAACACTCATGCTTCCCTAGTGCTGGCCTTCTGGGGTGAGGGTATTTTAGGAGATGGGCAGCCTCATTTAGACAAACAGTGCACACAACACAGGCCAACTAATCCTGGGATTTTATCTCTCTACATGAGGTAATGGTATCTCATTTAAAAGCATTTCTGGTATGAGTAATTAAGTATCGTGGAAGTTTAGAGATAACTAAAGACTATTGTTTTTAAAACCAAGCTTTAGACCTATTGGGTGCATCACTTGTGGAACTGAAATATAAAAATACAGAGGAAATGACTCTGAGGTTATTAGGCAGTGAGTCACTCACGAAATGCCCTCTGAGCTCTATGGGTTTTTTAGTTGTACCTGTTTCACGGCCATTTTCTTGTCTCCATCATCACTTTCAGCCTGTGGGTATCAGTTTTCTTTTTTTTTTTTTTTCTTTTTTCTTTGTTTTGCCTCACCACATGGCATGTGGGATCTCAGTTCCCCGACCAGGGGTCAAACCCACACCCCCTGCAGTTGAAGTGCAGAATCTTAACCACTGGACCACCAGGGAAGTCCCGAGGTGTCATTTTTCATTCTCAGCCTTGGTTTCTGATTATCTGTGGACTGGAAATCCAAATTAAGCAGATAATTTTAGTTATTATTGAAAAAGAACATAGGCTTTGATCAAGGTCTTGGGACCTCTATGTGTGTCTCTCAGTGCCCAGATATGGGTCATCTCTGTTTGCCACTCAGCCCTCATCTTCCCCTCTAGGTTAGCCACTCAGAAGGCCCTCTTCCATACATCCTGATATTGACCTGTGGTCAAGATGAGTGACCTATGGAGAGGGAAGAAATTCCAGAGGCTGAAAAGAAGGAAGACTGAGAAGTGAGGGGTGTGGACAGTAAAAGTGCACAAGCACCCCACAAAGTGGGATCTCTGTATGAATATGAGTTTTTAGTCTAAAAAAAATTTATTGAGATATAATTGACATGTAATATTGTATTCGTTTTAGGTGTATAACATAATGGTTTGATATGTGTATATATTGCTAAATGATCACCACAGTAAATCTAATTAACATCCACCACAACACCTAGTTACAATGTGAGTGCTTGTGATGAGAATTTTCAAGATGTACTATCCTAGCAACTTTCAAACATGCAATATGGTATTGTTAACCATAGTCACCATGCTATACATTTCATCTCCAGAACTTATTTCTCGTCTAACTGGAAGTTTGTACCTTTTGGTCACGTTCACCCATTTTTGCCCACCCTCCACTCCCCGCCTCTGTCAACCACCAGACTGTTCTCTGTATCTATCAGTTCATTTATAAAAATCATACAGTATTTGTCTTTCTCAGTCTGACTTACTTCACGTAGCATAATACCCTCAAGATCCATCCATGTTGTTGCAAAAGGCAGGATTTCCTTCTTTTTTGTGGCTGAATAATACCCCATTGTGTATATACACCACATCGTCTTTATCCATTGATCTGCCAATGGACACTTAGAGGGTTTCCATGCCTTGGCTAATTGTAAATAATGCTGCAATGAACATGAGGGTGCAGGTGTCTTTTCAAGATAGTGTTTTTGTTTCCTTTAAATAAATACCCAGAAGTGGAGTTGCTGGATCATATGGTAGTTCTATTTTTAATTTTTCAAAGAAACTCCATACTGTTTTCCATAGGGGCTACACCGATTTACATTGCCACCAGCAGAGCACCAGTGTCGCCTTTTTTCCACACCCTCATCGACACTTGTTACGTCTTATCTTGTTGATAATAGCCATTCTGATCAGATATAGGATGCAAACATTTCTTCCATTATGTAGGTTGCCTTTTCATTTTGTTGATGGTTCCTTTGCTGTACAGAAGCTTTTTAGTTTGATGTAGGCCCATTTGTTTATTTTTACTTTTGTTGCTTAGTTCTTATTTTTTGTTGTCTGCTTTTGCCACACTGTGACTGACTCTTCTTTTGTCCAAAAGACAGGACACTGGCTGGTTAATTATGAAAGTAACATTCACCACACAAACCCAGCAGAAAGATTGTGGGGAAAACCATTTCAGTTTAGGGTTAGACCCACCAGTTAGCGTTTCTCTTCACTTGCAGTTGAAAACACCTTAATATTGTGACAGGTATTTAACAAGGATAAGGTGATAGTGGGAGACTCCTTCCATCCAAACCCAACCTCCCCTAGATTTGGAGTCTCAATTAGAAAAAATTAACTTCAAGAAAACAGTTTACCAAAAATGTTTAAATTCCTAGGTGAAAGAGGTTTTCTTACTCTTTTCTTTTTTTCTAGGCTCTGACCCCATGGAATAAAAGAGATCCTATTTAGGGACAGTTAGTTTTGCTGCCCAGAAGATTCTCTCTCTTCTTTGGTGGGCTTTTAGAAAACTTTGGGTTACTTGAATCCCAAATTAACCCACGTTGTGCAACATGTAATCAATTAGGGAGATTTTTCAATGGAAATCATCCAATTTTGTAAGAATTGGTTGACACTTTTCCCCTTTCTAATATGATACACTTCCATAGCTTCATTCATTCCTCTCCTAATACTCTCTCAAATAGAAGTTTCAAATCATTTGCCATTTAGCAAGTGTTTTCTCCTATCTTGTGATTTACTCCTGTAACATTTAAAGTAGACTCTACAGTTTACTGGAAGGTGTGACTATGATGCAATTTCAGCCCTCCTGGCCTGTTCACAATGGAAGTTTTGCCGTAAAAGATGAATTACGATGTAATAGCTGAGTAGAACTAAAAAAGTCAATGCAGTTGCCCTTTGGTGCATTTGGGGGCTAATGATATTTAAGTCAATATGGCTGAAAAAGAAAAATAAATGTCAAACCAAATACCAAAGAATGAATAACCTACTGCAAGATCGCTAGAATCATAAGCAGTTACCGATGCTCTAAGATTGCTCTGAGAGCCCCGTCAATACACGAGTCTCACGGTAATTAAAAAATTCTAAAAAGCCAATACTTACTTTGTCAAACACACAAATGGAAATTGGAAATCCAACCTGGAATGTGAACAAATTAACAGAGTTCTGATTGTGCTCAAGCTGGGGCAGTTAGCAATTATTCTTGAAAGAATATTTCTGTCAAGAACTTTCTTCTAAAACTCAAAATACTAGAGAATCACACAAGCTGGAAAGGACTTAAGAAACTATTTAGTTGCTTCGTTTTATATATTTGGAAGCTGTGGCTCAGAAAAGTTACGTGACTTGCCCATGGTCACGTTGCCATGTGACTGTGACTCTTGGCTGGCCTGGTGATCTTTAAATTTGCTTATCTTGAGGTCCTTGTCTTATGTATCATCCCAATTCTCTCTTCTATTGTAAAAGAGCTCCTCCTTTAAAAAATCTTGTCTCTTTGGCATATTAATTATTTTAGGCTGGTTATTTTCTAGGAAACAGCAGACGTGAAAAATTCTGAAAACTAATTAGGAGTTACCCTTTTGTAAGAAACGTTTATATTTGTAAGGGAAATCTCTATACGCAAGGGTGTCTCCTTCCATGTACCAGGAAGAGAAAGATGACCAAATCTCTAGAAATTCTTAACCATGAAGAAGGCAACGACTTAAATCTGCATAACGCCCTTACCATTGTTTACTGTGCTTTTCCTGATAAGCTCGCATCAGAGAGTTACTGACTCTCCCATCCTCAACATCCTCTTTTGTCTTTAGCTGAAGATGGTATTTAAGATGAGGGCTCAGTTCTCCTTTGTCTCTCCCGTGTGTATTCACGTGACTCAACTTTTTGTTTGATTTTCTCCTGTTAATATGTCTCATGTCAATTTACTTCTTAGACCAGCCCGAAGAACTTAGAAGGGTAGAGGAAGATACCTTCCTCCTTGGTACAATGTTATAATGTCAGTAAGTGTTGAATGGATGTCCCCTTGGCTCTAACACATAAATAAGTAAGGTGAATTCTACAGAGAGATTATAGGCCATAGGGCTTTCAGTGAGGCCAGACGGGCAGCTCCTCCGTAGGAGCTGGATAAGGGCTCACAGGTGTTCAGTGAAAAAGACAGCAATCCAACATCCACAGCCTACACAGGAATAAAAGAAACAAAGGAAATTGAGTATTCACAGCTCCTTAAATAAGAAGGCCAGGCCCATATCAAAAGCCAGAGAACAGAGATGGAAGAACTTGAATACCAAAGACAGGAAAATGGACAAAGATATCAGAAGAATGAAGAAAGAGGGTGACATCAAAGATGACCAGATGTTGTCAAAAGGCTGGAAGTAAAAAGCAGGCACTTGATCCCAAGCTGGTGAGTAAACAGAATGGGCCAACTGGTAAACCTTTTGGCCCTAGGATTATGTTGGGTCTAGTGGAGAAATCTTGGTCTCAAAGTCGAGTCCCAAATCTAGCGATGCCTCCTTCATCCATTGATTCGTTCATGTAATATTTATGAATACACACTGTGCGCCAGGAGCTCTATTACGTGCTAGGGGATAAATCCATGAATAAGACAGACATAGTTCCTGTCTTTACAGTCTATCAGGGAGACAGACATCACCTAAATCACTACACAAACAATCATTTATTTACCTTGTGGCAAAAGTTATGAAAGGCAAGCACAGCATACAGTGAGAATTCATAAAGGGGGCATCTCACTTTGCTTGAAGACACGGGGAAATTGTGGTATCAGTTTTTAAAATGGAAACAAATATCTAGTGGAAGGCAGGTAATTTGCATTTTACGTTTATAAACACACCAACCGTTACTAAACATTAATATCAAACAGAAGCGTATAACTGAACAGACCATGTGTACTAGAAACCCAGTGAGGAGGGGGAGAAAGGGACTCCACTGGGGAAGCCAGAGGACACAGGAGAAGTTGGGTCCCCAGCGCTGCTGGATGAAAGCAGAGGGGAGGCTCCTTCTCACTTTCACTTAGAACCAGAAATAGGTCGCTGAGCATGAATAAGGCTGCAGTGCAGCCAGTCAGTCTCTGTCTGAACTCAATGCCCCGGTTCTGGTTCCCAGCCCGCGTTTTGGTTTCCCTGGTACTGAGGACTGCCGTGCACCCTACTTCTTCTCAGCCCGGTTAACCCAGCTTCTCTGAACTGTCCCCAGGCTTCTGGATATTGCTCACCTATGTGCTGGATCTTCGCAGGTAAGAATCAGGACTGGACAAAGTCTTGGCTCTTACGAGGTGATCAGCATGCCTTGCTGCTTAGAGACTGATCCTTCTGTTTTTGATGTATCTTTGAATTCATTCTCCCGTGGCCAGACCCCACAGCACTACAGAATTCCAAGGATGTCCACCCCTGTAAGATCAGGTACTAGAACTCCAGGTTCTGCTACTTCAACTGGATTCCTTGCAACCTCATGACTGTGTATGACTCGATCCACAGTCATGAGTCTCTTCCTAGGTAAAGTGAGTAAATCAATCAATCTGTATTTTAACAGATACCTTCTGAAAACATGCTTCAACCAAAAGTGGAATTCTAATGGTAGACACGTGGGCATGGTGGGTTGTTAGAGCAGAGGTTTGTGGGTGGGGGACTTTGGGTACCTAAGTAGCGCACCACACACTGGATCAACAACCCCATCCCTTACGGATACAGCAGACACGCCCTCCAAGAGCCAAAGTGGGTGTGCAGAACGCATGTCCTAGAAAGGAAGAGAATTTGGTAATGGTTTCTTAGGAGAAATAAGTCCCAAGTGGAAGTGGACGTTTGAGCAGAGTTTTAAAAGAAAAGTCAGGCTGGCACACCGGAAGCCTCCTGGGGTGAGGTTGAACCTCTGCAAAGCTCTGGTTTCTCATTGCCCATCTTGTTTTTCTCAGTTACAAATCAGTCTGGCCCTTCCCTGTTTTCTTTAATCATCCTCCATCATTAGAGAGATCATCTCAGCCCAGAGACAGACCGCTATTATTTTGGCTTCTGGTTTGTATTGTGTTAACTGCCTGAGAAGATGTGCTGTCCGTCTCCTCGGGTATAAAATGGGGATAACACCCCTATCCTGGTGTGGTTGTTATAAGGCTGGAACGTGAGGGGAATTAAACAAAGTTGGGTTCCTGCCCCCTTGCCAAAAATACTTTGACTAATTTCGAATACTTTGTTCATTCAGTGATTATTTATTGAGCACCTACTATGGGCCAGGCACTGTTCTGAGTACCGTAGAGGTAGCAGTGGATAAGATAAAGTTCCTGTCGTTGTAAGGCTGACTTTCTATTGGGAAGAAATAGGCAAGGACCTGGTAAGCAAATAAATAATATAAACTCAGATCATCAGTGAAGATAACAAACAGGACAATAAAGTAAAGAATGAGTGTGGGGTTGGAAGGATCACATACACATCTTTCCATGCTAAGCTAAGGTTTTAAACCAGTGTGCTAAATTTTCCCATAAGTGCTCAAACTGCTAAATACAGTGATTAATATGCCAGGACTCACTACTACCAGATCATCTTCCAGACCACGGGTCCTGAATTGGGGTGGCAGACCTTAGTCTCTACATTCAAGTTGCATTTGCATAGCAGGCTCATCAGAGGGCCCAGGTGTAACTTGCCATCTCAGTAGACCCTGATGTCCACAGAGGGGCCACATGAGGTTAAACCCAGGACCAGGTATTTCAAGGGTGGCTGGCAGGGCTCTGCCTGGTTGTACACAGAACACCAAAAGTTAAACTAAGGTCTCTGACCCCTAGATCCTTGGAGCCCCGGAGAGGCTACTGCTTTGTGTAGATGAAGCTAAAGCCAGGATCGTGACTGAATTACAACCAGGAAACCACGTGTGGCAGCTGAACTGCTGGAGGTGTTGAGCCAGGACAGAGCAGCTCCTAAGTTTCCGGGAAGCCTGGATTTTCTCAGTGTCTAGGACTGATGTAGCCCAGCCCATCAGCTCTGAATCCTCAGGCGAAGGAGCTGGAAAAAGAAGCCATGTGCCACACTGGCATGTTTCCTGTGTGTGTATGTAAATGACCCTGTTTTAGGGATGAAAAGAATACTTCTATGGTCACTTTTAGATAAGAAGAGTCCTGTGGTTTGTTATTCAGGCCAAAGTCTCTCCTCTCCTTTTCTTATATAATCAAATCAAATAGAGTTACATCCTGAAACTAGGGAAGAGGCAATAAGCTGGAAAACTCTTTGGCCAGTTGTCAACTTTGGGATGAAATTTTTTTTTTTTTTTTTGCGGTACGCGGGCCTCTCACTGTTGTGGCCTCTCCCGTCACGGAGCACAGGCTCCGGACGCGCAGGCTCAGCGGCCATGGCTCACGGGCCTAGCCGCTCCGCGGCATGTGGGATCTTCCCAGACCGGGGCACGAACCTGTGTCCCCTGCATCGACAGGCGGACTCTCAACCACTGTGCCACCAGGGAAGCCCTGGGATGAAATTTTTTAAAAAACACACAAATTCCAGTCTTTCCTTTCTTATGGAAATCTCAAGTTCCCTCTCTGAACTGTAGCTTTTCCAAGGTTATAGCGTATCAGTTCTTTGAGAAGATCTACTTCTTATCTCCCACCCCCAGTGTATTTATTCACAGATTTATTTATTTTTTAATCTATTGACTGACTCATATATGTTTACAATGGCTGTTGGTTGTACATCAGAGTTCTTGGCCTTATTAGGTTTATGATCCAGAAGGGGACACCAAAGCCACTTCACTTACAGAACCATGGGCTACTGAAGTTGGAGTCTTTGATGTTTCTGCTGCAAAGGAAAACCTAGAGAGAGAGAGAGAACAGTATCTGGGAGAGTAGCCACTCAAACCTTTATCAGCTGAAAGAATCAGAGCATTGTTTGAGCCTCAGCAGAGCCCACTGAGAAGGCATGAGCCCAGGTGGCTCTGCCAGGGGTGGCTGGCAGCAGTGAGGTACAGAAGAAAGGACGGCTCCTGGGAGTGAGAGAGCTGGATTCTAGGTCTGCCCCTGTATTTCATAACAACTCCTAGAGCCCAGCTTTCCACCTGTGAAGTGAGAGACTCAGATGCTGAGGAGGCCTCTCATTACTACGCTCTTCAGCCATGCTCATTGATGGAGTCACAGACTAACTCAGAGCTCACTTTAATCAACATCCCACCCTCTAGCACTGGTGAGAAATGAATCTGTTTTAATATAGAAAGTTCTGTGGTTGATTGAGTGGTACTATCTATGCCTTACACAGAGAACAGTTTACAAAGGATTAGAAAATGACGCACAGGACTTTTAAAACTGTAGGAATGTAAGCTAAGTTTCCCTTGATTCATGAAGCATTTCAGGGCCTAATAACTATTCCCATCGATTTAGGAAAGGCCCAGCAGCAAGTTACTGTACCTAGTTAGGCCTTTTCCTCCTACTTGTTATGGAACTTAGGCCTTAAAAGAATCTCCAGGGCTTCCCTGGTGGCGCAGTGGTTGAGAGTCTGCCTGCTGATGCAGGGGACACGGGTTCGTGCCCCGGTCCGGGAAGATCCCACATGCCACGGAGTGGCTGGGCCCGTGAGCCATGGCCGCTGAGCCTGCGCGTCTGGAGCCTGTGCTCCGCAATGGGAGAGGCCACAACAGTGAGAGGCCCGCGTACCGCAAAAAAAAAAAAAAAAAAGAATCTCCATTATCATCCAAGCTCAGGTGAAGAAAAAGTTGAAGCAGCATTTCCAAGTTGACACAGCTGGTTAATGGAAAGCCAAGAAGGAAACGAAGTGCCCTCTGTTCTCAGGCCCTGTGTGTGCCTTGCTACTGTTTACAAACTTCACACAACACATGTACTTTATGCTTTGCCATGGCCTGGCCCTGAGGCAAGAACCAGAGGGCCCTCATCCTCGTGGGGAAGATAGAAAATAAGTGGACAAGATCATTCCAGGTGGCCACAGGTGCTATGAAGAAAGCCCATCACAAGAATGTGATAAAACACTGGATAGTTGGTCTGTTTGTTTTGTTTTTTAGTTTTTACTGAAATACAGTTGATTTACAATACTGTGTTAGCTTCAAGCATACAGCAAAGCGATTCAGTTATATATATATATATTCTTTTTTCAGATTCTTTTCCATTATAGGTTATTACAAGATATTGAATATAGTTCCCTGTGCTATACAGTAGGTCCTTCCTTGTTGGTTATCTATCTTTTTTTTTTTTGTGGTACGCAGGCCTCTCACTGTTGTGGCCTCTCCCGTTGCGGAGCACAGGCTCCAGACACGCAGGCTCAGCGGCCATGGCTCACGGGCCCAGCCACTCCGCGGCATGTGGGATCTTCCCGGACCGGGGCACGACCCCGTGTCCCCTGCATCGGCAGGTGGACTCTCAACCACTGCGCCACCAGGGAAGCCCGGTTATCTATCTATATAGTAGTATGTATCTGTTAATCCCAAACTCCTAATTTATCCATCCCCCCACTTTCCCTTTTGGGTAACCGTAAGTTTTTTTTCTATGTCTGTGAGTCTATTTCTATTTTGTAAATAAGTTCACTTGTATCATTTTTTTAGATTCCACATATAAGTGATGTCATATGATATTTGTCTTTGTCTGACTTACTTCACTTAGTATGATCATCTCTAGGTCCATCCATGTTGCTGCAAATGGCATCATTGCATTCTTTTTTATGGCTGAGTAATATTGCATTGTGTATATGTACCGCATCTTCTTCATAAACATTGGATAGTTTAGACTGGAGGTCAGAGAAGGCCTGTCTGCATAGATGCTCTTCAGCTGCGTTCATCGGTGAATTCTTAGACTCACTCGGAGCTCAGTTAGGAAACATACTGCCCTCCAACGCTGTTCAAGTCTGTAGCACGTTGAGATTTTCTAGATACCATCTGAGTTGAGGCATGAATGATGTGGAGCCAACCAGGTGGGTTCCTGCAGAAGAGTCTTCCAGGCCAACGGAACAGCCAGTGCAGGGCCCACAGTTGAGGGCAACGAGGAGACAAAGTCTGGTGTGGCTGCGGTTTGGGGACCAAGTCAGAGATTGGCGTGTAATGAGGTCAGAAAAGTCAGTGGCATCCAGAACTGCAGAGCCCTGCAAGGAGTTTGAGTTTTATTTCACGTGCAGTCGGGAGACTTTGAAGGGCATTAAACAGGGTAGTCAGGGGATCCAATATATGTTTTCAAAAGATTGTTCTGGCTGTTGTGTGGAGAATGGACGTGGAGGGGCAAAGAGAAATAGGGAGACCAGTTAGGAGGCGGGTGGGCGAGTACAAGTGAGGGCGATGGTGGCACGGACAAGGGAAGTGGAAATGGAGATGGGGGTGAATGGAAGGATTTAGGGTACATGTTAGAAGTGGCACTGGCGGGACCTACTGACGGGGTGTAAAGGAAAAGAGAAATCAAGGAAGCCAGTGGATGCAAAGACTGGGGGGCAAACAGGTGTTTTAGCTAGAAATGACAAGTTCAGTTTTAAATACAGTAAGTTGACATTGCTTGTGAGACATATATTCCTTTAAACATTCTCTGATTTAGTCTAGGTTTGCCCCTATTTGTCTGAATTAAATGAGCTTCCTGTGTCATGCTCTAGAAACTCCACTCAAGTTCCTGCCTGAGATTCTGGACAAGAGTTGGTTGTTCTTTAATGGCAACAGTGATGTCATAGACTTGAGAAGATGTCCTAATTTTCCATTTAGAGAGGCCCCTCCTGGTCTCTGGTTGTGCTCAGCTTTTCTTTCCCTTTATAGACCTCCCCAGGGCATCTGCATTGCAGATGGGAGAGGCAGTGGGGCAGGTAGACCAAGGACACCCAGAAGGCAGAGAGACAACTGGGTCATAGACCCCAACATGCGACCCTCAGTTACCCTGGATTGGGTGGTTAGCGTTTGGGCTTCTTTCTATTTAGGTTGGGGATAAACAGTGGATAATCAAAGAAAAAGAGAGCATATGAGATGAGATATTTAGTTTGCAGAAAGTTAAGGTGGGAGAGGAAGCCAGCAGCCCGTCAGGAAAGAGGGGAGGGTGTCAGGATTGCCTGTGCATCTGATGGAAAGAACCCAGTGGAGGGTCTTGAAGAACCAAATAGATGAGCTCATTTCCTCGAGGACCAGGAAACTGGAGAAAGGATGCGTTCTAACTTGAGTGTGGAAGATACAGGTTACAACTATGAAGAGATGTGAGCTTCCCAGATAAGCAGGTAGCAGAAGATCTGGGCTGAGGGTAGAGGGTAGATTTCAAGGACTAAGCAATGCAGTCTAGCTTTGTTTTCAGTTTTTTGTTTTGTTTTGTTTTGTCTTTTTCTGTTCTTGTTTTTTAGTGCAAACTAAAGCAATCTCTAGAGGCAAATGACCTGAATGCTTAAGACCATATATATGGTTTTTCCCCAAGGATCTTTGTATCACTGATATTCCTACTGTCATCACATGGCTGGAATTTAGTGTCTGCTCACTAATTTCAGTTCGTGAAATGGTAAAGACCATGGGCACTGGAGTCAGAGAGCTTGGGTTTGAATCCTGACCCTGCCATCTACTATGAAATTGGATATGTTACTTCGACCCTCTGTATCTCAACTACTTCATCTTTAAAATGGGGTCAAGGACTTCCCTGGCGGGCCAGTGGTTAAGACTGCATGCTTCCAATGCAGGGGAGACGGGTTCAATCCCTGATCCCACATGCCTCGTGCCCTACTCCCCCCCACCAAAATGGGAACCATGATAGTCCCTACCCAGTAGGGCTGTGGTGAGGATAAAAGGAGTGAATGCATGTTAAGCCCTTGAAGTAGTTCCTGGCACATATTAAGCCCACTAAAATACCATTTCTTATAGGAAAAGAACAGAGGAGAAAACGGGCCAACAAGTTGTAGCTCCTTAGTCCCCCAAGTTTTCTGTGAGATCGAAGAAGAGGCCAGAGTAAACATAGGTGATTTATCACGTCATCTTGGCATGTGGCATG